TACTACAGAGACACTCCTGCCATCTCCCTTCCCGCTTATCCTCATCCCTTGATTGGACTCTAGCACCCTCGCATAGATGGATACCACTGCTAGTCGTCTTCTGAGTTATAAATACACGCGTCTTCAAATCTATCATGATGTGTTGAGGTCCAGGTTATACACTCTTGAGTAAATGTCATGTCGCCCATCCCCAGGCCGAACACCAGCCATGGCCATGACAACCATCACCAGCATGACCTGGTATCCCAAGAACCCGGGGAGACCTACAGCTTCTTCGAAGCGTTGAAGCTCCCCAACATCTTTATCCGCTGCTGGACGCCCAAGAACTCCGGCACTCCGGAACAACGACCACTACTGCTTTCTTCCGCATCCGTCTACTCCAGCATCACCCCATCACCACCCTCCTCCCTAGCACAAAAGTACGGCACCTGCACCGAGATCCTTCACTATGGCTCGTTCAGCTCCGTGCGTCTATACGCCCGCAAAGCCACCTCCAGCCCGACAGGTACATCCCCCAAACAGCTCTATGTCATCAAGGTCTTCCGCCGCTCCTCCAGCCCAACCATCATAACCCACCACCGCTTCGAAAAATCCCTCTCCTCGTCCCTCTCCCACCCCAACATCCTGCGCACCATCGACTCCCTCCTCAATGACCGCGACGAGCTCTGCCTGGTAACGGAGTACTGCGCCGCCGGCGACCTCTGCACCCTCATCGCGACAACAGGCGCCACGCTCACGCTCTCCGACATCAACTGCTTCTTCAAGCAGATCATGCGCGCAATCGCCTACCTCCACGACCGCGGCATCGCCCACCGCGATCTCAAACCCGAGAATATCCTCCTCACTGCCTACGGGGCGGTGAAATTGGCCGACTTTGGGAGCGCCGTGTGTCTGTCCCGTAGTGATGCCTCTGACTCGGAGACCGAGACTGAGGGTGAGCCTGATGGTGGGGTGGCCTACTCATACTGCCCGCCCCGGAAACTCCTCGGGACAATACCCTACATCGCGCCGGAGGAGCTGTGCGAGGTCCAGAAGGTCGACCCGCGGGCGGGCGATGTCTGGGCCGCGGGGCTGGTGTATATGGCGATGCGGTCTCGGCGGCTGCTGTGGCGCATGGCGAGCGAGGAGGAGGATGGGCGGTACCGGGAGTATCTTGTTGGGCGGAAGGGGGAGGAAGGGTATGCGCCTATTGAAGGGCTGGGAGAGGTAAGTGCCCGTTTGTGAAATCTGCGAGAGACAGCAGACGCTGATTGAGAGATAGAAGCGCTGTCGCAATGTGGTGTATGCGATGCTGGATCCGAATCCGAGGCGGCGCATCACGGCGTCGCAGGTGCTCCGCTCTGAGTGGATGTATCCGGTGAGGGTTTGTCGTGCTGGAGAGTTGGGGTTGTAATTAATACGTAGTCATGGCTGGTCCAGACACTGATAAGCGCATTTGATGATGGTTATATTCTGTGTTTTCAGCGAGGTTATCGACTATTTCTACATATTCATTCCATTTTCAACATCAACAGTCATTAGACAGTGCCTGCAGCCAACACGTACCCCCCGTCCACCACGATCGTCTGCCCATTAAGATACTGGTTCGTCGCCGTGAAGAGCACCGCACTCGCCATATCCTCGTCCTTGCCCGGCCGGCCCGCCGGCACCTTCTGCTCGTACTTCTCCTTGGGGATAAAGCTCTTCTGCTTCTCATCGCTCTCCCCCGCGGTCATCTCGCTGGGGAACACACCCGGGGCGATATTGTTCACCCGGATCTTCAGCTTGGAGGAGCTGATCTCATGCGCCAGCATCTTAGTCAGATGGATGGCCGCCGCCTTGGAGGCATTATACGCAAAATGGTGCTGCGAGACTTTGACGATCCCGGAGATCGACGAGATGTTGATCACCGTGCTGGACCAGCCGTACTCCTTCTCCGACCCCTTAGCCAGCAGCGGCAGGAACGCCGTGGTGGTGAAGAACAGCTGCGTCACATTCGTCCGGAACACGCTCTCCCATTCCTCCGGCTTGGAGGCCGGGTCGTCGAACAGGCTCTTCCGCAGCTCGCCGGGCTCTTCGTGCTCCACTGTCTGCGAGTGGCTTGTGATTCCGGCGTTGTTGATCAGGATGGAGAGGTGGCTCTCGCGCGAGGAGATCTCTTGCACGAGCTTCTCGATTGACTTCTTGTCTGTGATGTCCGCTGTGATGGGGATGATTTCGCCGGGGATGTTCTTTCCGTACAGCTCAACGACGCGGTCCAGCTTCTCCCCGGTGCGTCCGGTGATGTAGACTTTGGCACCGTTGACAGCGAGGGCCTGAGTGGCCATCAGACCGATGCCGGAGCCTCCGCCGGTGATTAGGGCGACTGTACCTGTTAGTATCTTGGTACTGAGGAGAACTGAACGTCTACATACCCTTTCCCTTGACATTGAAGAGATTGTCGAGCTTAAAGGTCTGGTTACTACTCTGGGCCGCCATTCTGACTTCTTCGGAAACAGATCGATGAGATGTAGCAGTAAAAGGTCTGTACGTAGATGGGGCGAATTGTCTAGGATAATTTTGCAATGAAGACAAGCAGCTTTTATTATATACAGCCCGGTGGTAGATACGTGGTTGAAGTACCTGGCGAGAGACAGCTCGCAGGGGAGCAATGTGGCGCATCATCACTGCAACAGTCGGCTGTTTGCAAAAGTAAAACAGGATTTCTAGAGCGTATAAAAGGCATTTCCCTCATCTAGATCGTCATGGATGAACGATTGCGGGCATGTCAGGCAAGATTCACGAGTGTCCAGACAGGATTCACCCCCCACAGTGTTGTGTGTTCATCACAATGACGTCGATCAAAGTACTCTATTTGGCAGAGATGATGTCGGCGAAACAACCTACTCTACCAGACTGATCTCCTGCATCGGTCCGAACCTGATCTTCGAATCTTAGTTTTCCATACAAGACGATTCATTTTGTTGCCCTCGTCTGTTACCTGGTCTACGTGCAAATATCAATGCAAAGTTTCGATAAAGTTTCAATACAAGGTGCTCTCTCTTTCTAGTATCAGTTCATGGATTTCAAGTCATGACTGAAATCAATTCACGCTTAGATATTTTGTAGCAAGCTTACACTATGACATGTATACAATCTTACAGCTTGGCCTTGGCTCCAATAGCCTCACTAACAGGTGCCACCTCGACCATCATCTTGCCCGTATTGGCACCTTCGTAAAGGCTCACTAGACCCTGAGGCGCCGCCTCCAGTCCACCCCGGATGATATGCTCCTTGCGCTTGATCTTCCCCTGGGTCAACCATGTCGACAGATCCTTCAAGGCAATGTCATACTTCTTCGCGTAGTCGAACACGATGAAACCCTTCATTGTGATTCGTTGCGACTGCAATACACCATTAGCGATCGATCAGCTACCACATGTCCAGCAGTAAAACTTACAATGACGTTCATGAAGCTCGCAGGCCCCTGGGGCTTGGCCGAGTTGTACTGGCTGATCGCACCGCAGATCGCGAACCGAGAGTCTTTCTGAGCCCGCGCGAGACAAGCATCAAGGATTTCCCCTCCGACATTGTCAAAGTACACATCGATGTAGTCCGGCGTAGCCTCCTTCAACTGCTTCTTCCAGTCCTTATCCTTGTAGTTGATCGCCGCATCGAATCCAAGCTCCTTGACCAGGAACTCGCACTTGTCCGCACTGCCCGCAATGCCGACAACCCGCTTGGCTCCCTTGACCTTGGCAATCTGTCCGGCGACCATGCCGGTCGCGCCGGCAGCACCAGACACAACGACGGTGTCGCCCGGCTTTGGCTGTCCGACCTCGATCATGCCAAAGTAGGCAGTCAACCCCGTCATTCCGAGCACCGACATGGCATCGGTAGGTTGGCAGCCGGGAGGGACGACCACCTTCTGGGCCTCCTTGGGCCCCAGCAGACAATACTCCTGCCAGCCGGAGTAAGCAACGACCCAGTCGCCGACTTTGTATTGGGATTGTAGTCCGCTTCCGACCGCGATCACCTGTGCGATGCTCTGGCCGCGCATGACGCTGCCGCGCTCAACGGGGGCAATGTATGACCGCTTTGCTGTGAGCCATTGGCGCATGGCCGGGTCGAGAGAGAGGTAGTGCACGCGCACGAGGACTTTGTCATTGGGGATCTGGTCGGGGATGGAGGTTGTGTTGAGCTTGAAGGTTCCCTTGGTCAAGGAGGGGTCGATGGCCGGGGAGGGCGTGTTGGCGTAGATGAGCTGTCTGTTTGAGATGGGCATTTTGGCTATCTGTCTGCTGCGACCAAATACGAAAATATAGATGGAAATATGGAAACCGTGCAGTGAAAGATGGAGGGAGCCTTCACATATAGGCTTCGGTTATCTGTCTACGTTTTCTCCAACCCTTTGACTTGCAGCGAAAGTGCCTCGGCACGGCCGAAGTTCTCCATTCAGTTATCAGTCCGTTCTTCAGTTATATCACTAATCACGATCCAAAGGAGCTAATCTAGAGACAGAGTTTTGGCTCCGCAAAATTAACGGACTTGTCTCTAGTTCTAGAAGAAGCCTAGAAATTAAATGGACCAAGTAAAGGAGGCAGAGGGGTATAATTGCATTACGGACTTATGCAATGCATATATTTATTTATGCATTCATGACGTAGTTATGCACTCCATCTTATCGATAAGGATTTTCTATTTTGGGAAATAGAGAAGGGACAGCCACTGAGCAATTTGTACGACCTCATGCCAGTTCAAGGAGATTGAATTGGCCTCGATTGAATTGATCAAGCTTTTTCACCCCAGATAGCCTATGAGCTACGGAGTCCCGCTTGGGAACTCATCCAAAGAGCATGTGGTCCCCGACAGATATGGGATCAGCCTGACGTCACCAGTCAAGGCGATGATGTCGGAGGTGCTGAGCATCAAATAAGGGCAAATTATAAGAACATCTACCGTGGTATTCGACGGACTTGCAATCCGAACACTGAAAATCAACCTACTTTTTGATATTTAAGAGATAATTTCCGATCTACAACATGAGTACCAACCAAGCACCTTACCAATCCTCCATCGGAGGCTACAACCAAGACCCGAATTCCACCACTCCAATTGGGACCAACGTCAACACAGCAGCTAGCACCGGAGACCCTTTCACTGGACCTGCCTCCAAGTCAGCTGGACCACATAACTCCAACATCGCCAACACTCTCGATCCCCGCGTCGACAGTGACATGAACAACCGCGCCCAGTACGCCCCAGGCATGACCTCTTCCGGCAACGTCCACCCGGGCGCCACACAGAGCTACGACAATCCGTATAGCTCGAACGCGGGCCCTCACAGCTCCTCGGTCATGAACAAGCTCGATCCCCGTGTCGACAGCCAGACCGGTAACACGACCACCAAGACGACCAACGATACGGGCACAGGCGCCTACCGTAATCCTACCGACACCTCTGGAGTGGGCGCCGGTGCGGGTGCAGGTGCGGGTATCACGCAGGGCTCGTCGACTACCTCCGTTGGGACGCCTGGAGTGGAAGACAATCGCTCGCGATATGACCCCAACGTATCGGGCTACAACCCTGCCACTGGGTCCGGATACTCGACTACCGGCGGTGTGGGCCACCAGCCCGCCCCGGGATCCAGCAGCTACGATAACCAGGACTACCGAGCTGAGTATGCGCCCAGCACTGAAAACAAGCAGTATACTGCAGGTGGACACGGCCGTTCGGCAACCAAGGGCGAGGAGATTGGCCGTGGGGTGAGATCAGCCATTGCCGGCGTTCACGTAAGTCGATCTGCTACGTTCTCTGATGGGCGGAACTGAGTACTAACGAGGGCTTTGACAGGGTGCTGGGGAGTCGTTGCGGGGAGCAATCAATACGGCTGTTGACAAGGCATTTGGTCATGAAGCAGGCGCAGCGAAGAATCAGGCCATAGCGAATAAGGGTGAGCAGGAGATTCGGTCGGGAACGCTTTCTGGCCAGAGGGAGACTCGTTAAGCAGTCTATGTATACTTTTTATAATTGATGATACCACGGATTTGTACTTTTCAACTGAGACTACATGTTTTCGTACTTTGCAATTGGGATTACATGAGATTGTGATTAAATTGTACCTTACTCCGTACAGTCATTGTGCTGTGGCGAGGAACATAATGTGTCATAAAATGGTATTCGTATGTTCAACGCACTAGGTAAGTTATGATTCAGTGGCGAGGTAATAGCCAGGTCCAAGTTAAAGAGAGTTTTGATTTTATCTGATCTTCTCTGGAATGTTTGGGGGAGATTATCCATCTATGACGTGCCCCGAAGAAACTGTACGAGATTAAATATATATGTACAGCACCATGGAACACAGCATCCGAACAATAACCAGGGGCTAACTGGGTCAAGATCGATTCAAGCATTCTCCAGTTTCTGCTTACCAGCGAATCATCATCATCCCTCAATAGCTTCATCCACAACTGTTGTGTGAGTGTCTTCCGGGAGCTCCGGAGGCTGTGCAATTTCAGTGGAACCGAGATAAAAAAAAAAGGAACAGGAATGAAACCAACAGAAAGTTCGGTTGGTTAAAAAAAATTGATTATGAATCATTATTATTATTGAGAGAAGAGAAGAACCTTGAAGGAAATTCATCATCTTTCTTATTATCATCATCATCAAGCGAGCAACTTCTACTGCGATTTTAGAGACAGATACGAATACGACTACGACAAGTTAGAGCTTCATCGCCTCATCTCAAGTCAGACATCGCCATCTCCACTTGTTAGACTGCCTTAGTCTCTCACATGCAAATGTGGTGCTAGTTTGCTTATTTATAAATCATCATTATCTGTCTTCATTGTCGTTCTTGTTGCATCATCACTCTCGTTACTACCGCATGGACAGAATCATCCGCCACCGCCAGCAACCTCAACTTCGACATCATGCCGCTCTCGCTGGTCAATCCGGAAGACCATGACCAGGTCAATGCCATTGTGGATGCATCTTCCAGCCCGGAGGATCGCTCTCCGATCCTCCCATCCAATTCCGACAGCGATGAACTGGGCTACCAATCCGTCGATGCAGCCAAGGAAGATGAAGCCGACGAGATGGTTGGCGTCAGTATCGGCCCGACGCAGAGTCGCATGAAGGCCCGTCTGACGCCCGCGGAGGAGAAGTCTCGCATCATGGAGCGCAATGGCCAGTATTTTGATACCATTCCTGACAATATCGTCGACTCCGATGGCCTCTTTCTTCCTGAGATCACTTCTGAACCAGAGTCGCTGCCGGACGCTCGGGAATCCCTAGCGCACCCGCCAGAGAAAGCTGGTCTACAGGACCGTGCTGTCCTGGCCCGGAATGAGGTGCAACAAACCACTATACCCCCGGCCAAAGACGGTCAACGGACCAGTTTCACCAGGTCGATCCTGAAGAATGGACTGCCGCGTCCTCGGGCCTGGTCTGGGGACGCTATATCCAACCTGCGGCTGAAGAAGTTTTTGCCGGATCTGGGCTCTTTGGCGAAACGATCTTCACTGCCCTTTCGGTCAAATACCTTGCATAACCGAGCTCGCAGCCAGACCGTGAAGCCTATGCCGTCCGGACTGGCTCTGAAACAGGCCCAAGCGGCCGCTGAACAGCAGAGGCGGCGGTCGTGCTCAACCCCAGATGCGCATCCACCTGCTGCAGATGAGCCGATTCCCGAGTTGAGACCTTTGAACGGGATGACGGCTGCGAGGCATTCATTTACACGCAAACCCAGTAATTTCTCGGGGCACGCGGCTTCGCTCAGGCGGTCCTCGTCAGATCAATCTTTGTACCTGAGGGCATCGTCCACGGCATCATCCCTGGATCAGGCACCCCAGTACGAACACATTCATTCTCAGGTCAACAGTCGTTTCAAGGCCATCAAGGACAGTCTTCAGGACTCTAGCAGCCGGCTGCTGAGCATGCCCACCTTGCACCTTCAGGATCTCCGCAGCGAGTGGGGATACAAGCCATTCCTCAGCGAAGTCACCCACCGAAAAGCAGTCCCGGAGACTGCCGAACCGCAGTCCCACCGGGAGATTCTCAGAGAAAAGACCTCGCAGTCGCGCGAGCAATCCCCGCGCAATAATTCCGCCTCGACGCATCCCATCTTGGCCGAAGCCTTGTCCGAGTTGACCGGCGACGTGGTCATCCTAGGAGGCTACCGAGGCTCTATCCTGCGCTCTGCCAAACCGCCCCATCGCCAGCTGTGGGTTCCGATGAAAGTGGGACTCAATCTTCGCAAGGTCGATCTCGAAGTCGGCTTGAACCCGGAGGACGAAGAGCGGATGGAGGAAACGATCATCCCCTCGGGCGTGTTGTCGCATGTCGGGCCCGTTGACATCTGTCGCCGGCTGATGAAGCGACTGCACAAGTGCGACAACGCCGTCAATGGCAAGCTCCGCGTCTGGGACTACGGCTACGATTGGCGACTGAGTCCGCACCTACTTTCGAAGAGATTGATCAAATTCCTGGAAGGCCTTCCGTCCAATGCACCCGACGTGCCACCCGAGAAAAGAGGAGCGTATGTTATTGCCCACAGCCTGGGTGGTCTGATTACGCGCCATGCCGTCAACCAACGGCCCGAGCTCTTCGCCGGCGTCCTCTACGCAGGCGTCCCACAGCACTGCGTCAACATCCTCGGGCCCCTGCGCAACGGAGACGAGGTCCTTCTGAGCACCCGCGTGCTCACCGCGCAGGTGAACTTCAGCTTCCGGACGAGCTTCGCCCTGCTCCCCGAAGACGGACGCTGCTTCATCAACAAGCGCACCAAGGAAGAATACCGCGTCGATTTCTTCTCCGTCCAGAACTGGGACGAATACCGCCTCTCGCCCTGCATCAGTCCCGCCCTGCCCCCGCTGACAGCCACCCGCGGCTTCAAGGACAACCTGCCCGATCTCGGCATCCGCAAGCGCTTCACTACCGTCCTCGGCCTAGACAACGGCTCCGCCGAAGAAATCACCGACGCACCCACCCGACGCAGCACAGACGGCCGCGCCATCCACCACCCATACCTCCGCGCGAACGCATCCCACGCCACCAACCCCGTCTCCGACGTCGCCGACAAGGCCTCCGCCATGGCCCCGACAGGCGACGGCCTCGTCGGCCCAACCGCCAACCTGCGCGGCGCCGCGGCCAGCAAGCTCGCAACGACCTCCACCATCCCCCGCGCCACGGCCCTCGCCTACCTCGAGCGCACCCTGGCAGAAGTCAAGCGCTTCAAGCAGGAGCTCGCCTTCAATCCCGCCCACCAGGCCGACAACCGCTACCCGCCTGCTGCCGTTGTCTACGGCAAGTCCGTCCCCACCGTCTACGGGGCGCGCGTCTGGTCGCGCGACCAGATCAGGCGCCAGGACGCGTACGATGATCTGGCCTTCGCGGCCGGCGATGGCGTTTGTCTTGCCTCGGCGGCGATGTTGCCCCCGGGTTACCGGATCATCAAGGGCGGGCTGGTCAAGAGCGAGCGCGGGCATGTTGGGCTGCTGGGCGATTTGGAAGGTGTGGGCCAGTGTCTCCGGGCTTTGATCCGCGGCCGACGGGAGGGCGTGGGATTGGGGCCGCGGCCTGAGTCTGAGCCTGCGCCTTCGCCGGAGCCTGAGCCTGAGCCTGAGTCTGAGCCTTCTTCGTAGGCTCTTCTACGGACTGCATGCATTTGATACCCTAAGCGCTTGTTTTATGATGACGACAATACGAGTAATGACCCGACTGCTATCTTTGCATGTCGTCTTTGTATATACTACATCTCCAATCGTTCGTACATAGAAGATAGACATTATAAACATATCGATCTATCCTTGCTATATTTTATGATCGGTTTCATTTTTCTCATATAGCCATGGTCTATAGTATTCCGCCAACCGCCTAGGTAATCCTCCAAGTTCAATAGATAAAACGATACCACAAATCACGCGCCGCATAAAGTTCTAAAAACGATAAAAACAAAAAGCAAAATCTAACCCGTTCTCGAGTTGGCAATGTTGAGGACCAGAATGTCCGATGCGCCGACCTTGAGCAGCTCGTCCATGACCGTCGCGATCTTCTTCTTCTCGACCATGGAGCTGACGGCCACCCAGCCCTCCTCCTCGAGAGCGGTGATTGTGGGCGCACGCTTGCCGGGGGTAATCTGAGACGCAACTGAGAGCCCGGAGCGGGGAATGTTGTACTGGCACAGGACGTATCTTTGAGCGGCTGTGGTGAGAGGGTGAGCATTTGGCCATTCAATAAGATTTAGGGGGAACATACTGATAACACCACTGATACGAGAGGTGATCAAATCAACCAGGGAGTTCTGGGTTGACCGAGACTTGACCAGCACGGCTGTGCTCTCGACGACAGTATCAATGGCCTTGAGACCAGCAGCCTTCATGGTCTCGCCGGATTCTGCACCCGTCAGTCTTGAATTCAACCGAGCGAAACGGTAGTAGAAACATACCAACAAGATCGACAATACCGTCGGCCACACCGAGAGCACAAGCAGCCTCGACACTACCACCGACATACTTGATCTTGGTGCTGAGCTTCTGCCCGAACTCCACGCCCTCCAGTCGAGAGAAGAAGGCCTGCGTCAGCGCCGTGAAGCTGGTCACAACATTTTTGCCGATCAGCTGCTTCGCCTCCGTGATGTCGCCCTTCTGCGGAACCTGCACCTGCAGCTTGCACCCGCCGAACCCGAGATCCATGATCTCCTCGACGCCCGAGAGCTCGCCCTCGGGCAGCTGCGCATCATGTTCGGCGACCTGGTCCCGTCCGGTGATACCGAGGTCTACGCGGCCCTCGCCGACGAAGGTCGGGATGTCTGCGGCGGGGAGGAAGATGAGGGCAATAGGGAGGTTCTTGACCAGCGCGATGTCGAGCCGGGTTTCGCGGCGGAATTGGATGTCACTGCCCGACAGGAGGTCCAGGGTAGCCTGTTGGAGACGGCCCTCTGTTGTGGACAAGAGGTATGAGTTAGCTGGGGAATCTTCCCGGTGCGATCGTATGGTCTTGAGGTCAAAGAATGGAATTGCGATTGCGAAAGACGAGGTGAGTCACAGAGGGAACTTGCTTTTAGGGACCGCGAAGAGGAGTCTTCCTTCGAGGCTGTGAGAGGATGTTAGTCATTATGAGAAGGACTCAGAGTATAGCAGTTGAGACAAATTATAGAGTCTGTTCTTGGTGGTGAGGTCACGTACTGGTTGACGAGATCCATGACTACTGACGATTAAGGGCGCGGGGTAGATGAGACTTTTGTAGGGAATCGCGGCGAGCTTAGAGGGGGAAAGAATTGATATTATACACGAGCGAAATGAAATGGTCAGCGACAATGTTATACAGTAAATCCAACGGGAATTGACTGGCGCGTCGGCGACGTGCCTAGAATGAAGAGTTGACCGAAAGATGCTGGTTTCAAGGAACGAAATCGGAGTTCAGGTTCTGACTCGAACGGTGAGGGGCAGAGGAGGACAACCAGCAATTCAACTCAATTGCGACTACATCTGTTAAAATAAAGCTATATCTAGTATGTACATGGAAGCCGAATCCATGAATACAGGTTATACAGGTTCTACGAATCACATTATTTTCTTGAACCACGAGGATCCCAAGTTTGAACCTGGAGTCTGACATCAGGAAAAAAAAAAAGTGGCGGTTCCTCATTCGGAGACCAAATTGATGCCTTGTGGCCTGAATGCTGCCTTGCACAGCTATGCCGGAAATAGGACTCCTTGATGGCCTGAATTCCCAGGTGTCAGTTAGCCCTGAACCCTCGCGTAAAGTTCCAATTCCCGCGCTATTCCCAAAATAGAAACACACACAAGCCCGCAAATTCCTCGCTTGCAATCACAGTCCACCACACCACTCTACCCGTACGGCCTCATCTAACCCACCGAACGCCGCCATCTTCCCTTCTATCCCGTCAAGTCAACCCTCTCGCTGTCGTCGAGCCCAACCTCCAAGATGGATTCCGCCAAGCAGCCTGTTAAGCTCGTCAAGGTGACTCGTGTTCTCGGCCGTACCGGTACGTGATCTTCAATCTACAAAACAATGACGGATGTCGCGTGGAATTCGGTATAATAACTGCTCGCTTTAGGCTCCCGTGGTGGTGTCACCCAGGTCCGCGTCGAGTTCATGGACGACACTTCCCGCAGCATCATCCGTAACGTCAAGGGTCCAGGTATGCGATTTCCGTTGAGCGATTGATTTTTGGAGGTTTTTTCTTTCGGTGGTCCTCGTATCCCGGCCGACAATCCGATTGCGACAATTCGAGACGGAGAAAGAAACTGGTCATCTCGGTGCAAGAGCGAACGAAAAAGGAATGACTGCGAATGTGGATGCGACTGCAAGCCCAACCCATATTGAATCCGGATACCGGGGACCATCGGAAGAGGAAAACCAGGGCCGAATATTCAAGAAGTGCATGTGCATGTGCTAACTAGGAATCTTTGTCGCAACCTACAGTCAAGGTCGACGACATCCTCTGCCTGCTCGAATCCGAGAGAGAGGCCCGCCGTCTGCGGTAATTCCGCGTCGATTTTCTCGCCGAGTTGTCGTCTTTTATTCCCCTCTCGAGGCCGTGTACGTTTGCTTGCGTTGGAAATGATTCTGGGAGGTCGGGAAAGGCAAAAGTTTTTTCTAGCAATGAGAAATGCGTGGCTGGGTTCAACTTTGCATGGGCTGATGCGAACGAAACGGTTGTGATACTTTGGCTTTCCATCCAGATCTTTCTACATATCCTATCTGTCTTCGAGATATCAGGGAATAAAAGAGAGAGCCAACGGGGAAACCAAGCTCAACCCTTTCTAATGAAACGCAAAAAAATTTGAAAGCAACGATGCGCGAATGGACGGACTTTTCTACCTTGATCCCTTTTCTTCGTGCTGTCAACTTGTCGCTTGTCATACACTTGATCGCATTGCCCTTGTCGAAGGTGACACGCAAGTAGAATTTGTGCTCTGGTTGATCTTCCGTTCAGTTTCGCTTGCATGATATATGGGTTATAGACGATCTAGGTCGCTGTGAATCGAGGACAAATATATGACGATCACGCAACCACGTTCTCCTTGCATCCAGACTGGATCTAGGGCTTCCCTGCAGGTGAGGGTTGGGACAAAATTGAGACTGCATTGATAAGAGGTGTTCGTCGTGACTCGCTGCGCAAGTCCAACCTCTCCTAAATGCAAGTCGAAATGAGTCTCTACCTTTTTCCCAGTCAAGAACAAGCTAACCGACCCCTACTACGTTGCGGCTTAACAAGCCCCGAATACTGATGTAGTAGGGGTCGGTTACGTCCCGTGCAATGATCGCCAGCCCTTGATATTGATTGTAATGCGTAGTAGCTTTCGACCTAAGTCTACATTACCGGTTTGACCGATTGTCAACGTGAACTAACTACGATGGCATATAAGCTGAACATACGGAGTAAGGATGATGATTGAGCCCGATCTATGTGGTCGCTATATTTACAGTAGTTCATGCCAATTCCCCGAAAAATTTCGCCGGTCTGCAAGTCGACCTAGAGCTGCTCCGCGTTGCTGATGAGCCGTTCAAAGAAGTCCTCATCCCCCTTGGCAGGATCCTCCATCAATCCTCCAACAGCCGTAAGAAGTCCGGCAAGTCGACGACGGCGAATCCGCTCTTCTAGCTCCGCGCTCTTCTGCTTGGCCACTTCGAGTAACGGCGCTGGTAGTTTCGCCAACCGCGCCACGTTCAATCCGTAACTGCGATGCGCCACACCCTCTCCGACCTCGTAGAGGAAGGTGATCTCTTCCTCCTTGCCAGACCCGGACTCGGTGAATCGCATGTGCACGTTGCGAAGTTCGTGGTCCGGGAAGGACTGCGCCATATTGGAAAGATGCTGATAGTGGGTGATAAAGAGGGTCAGGCTTCGGATCGTCCGTACAATGTAATCCAGAACCGCCTGCGCGATGGCAACCCCGTCATGAGTAGACGTACCCCGGCCCAACTCATCAAGGATGACCAGCGAACGGGGCGTTGCCTGCTTGAGGATGTCTGCCGTTTCCGACAATTCGACCATAAAGGTTGATTCACCTGCCAGCATGTTGTCGAAAGCTCCCATGCGAGTAAATACGGCGTCCAGCATGCCGAGCTTCGCTGACTGAGCAGGCACGTAGGAGCCAATCTGCGCCATAATGGCAATCAGGGCTATTTGCCGCACATAACTGGACTTGCCGCCCATGTTCGGACCAGTGACGAGGAGGGCACGAGTCTTGTCACTGTCCAGATCAATATCGTTGGGAACATAGCGGTCGAGCAGAAGTTGCTCCACCATTGGATGGCGCCCCTGTTCCACGTGAATACACGTTTGGTCGGTATACTCGGGCTTCACGTATCCTGGCTGGCTAGCAATTGCCGCCAGTGATAGCAAACAGTCGAGCGTCGCTAGAGACTGGACGCAGTCACGGAAAGACTGATAATTAGCCGCTATCTCGGCCAAAAGAGCCGCGAATGCTTGGTCGCACGCTGCAGCCAGCGCTTCCTTGTGCTGATCTCGTTGCCGTAATAGCTGAATGACCTCTGGCGTATGGAATCTAGAAAGCTTCTTCGTCCCGCTCACCTTGACCCATGATGCTGGCACTCGTTTGATGGCCGCTGCAGTGTTTTCAACCTCGATCAGATACTCAATCCCGGACGAAGTAACGTAAGTCACCTTCGGCCACTTGAGGATCCCGGCAGCGACAGAGCGATGTTCATCTAATTCGTGTTCGACGCTGGCGATCCCGAGCTTGTGTTCGCTAATTTCTTCTGTTTCCTCCGATTCCCGAAAGAACTCATACTTGTCGTCGTTTCGCGCCGCATGCAAATTGATCCTGTTCAGGAACTTGACAACATCTTCCAATATTGACGGCAGTCGAGCAATAGCCTCCCCGAGAACTGGCGATGTGAAGCCGGAGTCCTCGGGGGTCTTGACGTCAACGTACTCCTGTGCAATGGTCTGCAGCGTCTGGAGAACGGTGAGGAGCTCTGGGCGCGTGCACTGCTTCCTCGTTAGTAAAAAAATCCGCTGCAGGTATATCAAGTCTCATGTACATGTACATACCTTTCCATAGTAGATCCGAATCAGATTCTTCTCTAGATCGCTCTTGATCTTTCCCAGCAATATCTTCAGTCTCTCGACTTGGACAGTCCTGTCCGGACTCTTCAGCTCCTCAACGGCATTCACCCTTTCCTCCAGGCGCTCCTTGTCCAGCAAGGGCCGTCCGACCCATTTTCGAAGCAATCTCTGTCCGAATCTAGTTTGCGTTCGATCCATTGTCCAGAAAAGACTCCCTTTGGCCGAATGATCCGTCTGGTTCTGGTAAATCTCGAGGCTGACCAAGGTATTCGCATTCAGCATCATGTGTGATCGAGAAGAAAAGTGTTGGAAATACTTTGTGAGCTCGAAAATGTGCTCCAATCCGTACTGTGTCAGGTGCTCGATCATTGCCGAAAGACATACCGTCACCTGCTCCGGCAAATTAACCACCTTTTGGAGTAAGTTACTGGCTGGAGCATCGTCCGCAGTATTGGCTGCCTTCAGTTTTGCGGCATAGAAGTTTGCAACATGACTATGTGATTCGGCAACTGCGGTCTTCTTCTTAGCGACCCTATCCACGCGGACTTTGTCGCCAAACGTATTCAGCTTGCTACCAGAGAGATGTTGCACGAGTTTCTCTGTAGCCTTGGACAGTTCTCCGACAATGACAACTTCGCAAGGTGCGATATGAAGTAATCTAGTTTCCACCTCACTTCTCATAAATCCATCCTCGAAGTCATCGTAGATGATGTCACCGGTATTCGGCTGGACAGCGACGATACCAACATGTACCTTTTCGTCGTTGCCCCAGCCCTTTGCATTTGTTTCGGTAATGCATAGCATGTACCCGGTAGCCGGGGAAGCACCGCCTGATGCAGCAGGCGTAGCGCCATCCAACCCCTCAACATCGTCTACGTAAGTACCCTTCGTGTATAGGTTGGTAAGTTTTCGGGAGAAAGGAGCATTGCGATTGTCTCCAGCAGCCTTGAGAGCGGCAGTTTCCAACTGCCTCACCACGCCGACCTTGTATCCAGCTGTTACGAGGCGCTTTACATGCACATGTAATCGGTGGACTGGTATACTAGCGGATGCGAAGCGATCGAGATGAGCTTCGGAGGGATCTGTTGGCAATTCGGCGCCCTTTAGCAATCATATCCACAATGCAGGAAAACAGAAAAATTATTTTGAACTGACTTACGTTCATCAAACCTCATTTTGCCAGGTATGCATACAATACTCAATTCCTTAGCGGCAATCCTCGCATCCTCGCCAAAGAAACGAAACTTGTAGCCCACCTCAATCACCAAAACTGTGTCCATATGCTTGCGCTTGATCTCAATCACTTGCTTCTCCAGCGGAGTCAGCTTGCTCCCACCCTTCTTTGACGCACCTTTCCCCTTTGACCGGGGCGGAGGTGCGGGTTCATCATCCTCATCGCCTTCCGCAACTTCCTCCGCACCAGAAGGAGCCTCAGTCGCGGCATTCCTACCTATCCCGATAAGGCAGTCAGCTCCTCCCAGCTTCTTAACAAAAAGTCGGTGTAGTTTCTCGCGTTCCAGCTGCCGCTGCCTCGCTTCCGGATCGCCTGGTTTCTCGATGATTGCATCATCAGCAGGAGAGCTCGCAAACTTGTAAAGATTGGTGCGCTGGCTGCTGCTTGATGAAGGGTCTGGTCTGCGTGCAGCATTCGACGCTTCGTTGATATTGCGTCCAAACCCGTTCGCGGAATCAACTCCGTTCGTTTTGACCCGCTTCGGAGCCCGAACCACTATATCCTCATCCTCGTCGTCCACCAAATCATTTTGATCCCTTGTGGTTTCACGCAGCGGCATTTCTGCCTTTTTCTGGCTCGTCGCTCGCCCATCTTCAAGCTCGTTCGTTCTCTTCTCGATTGCCGGCGCCCTCTTCGTGAAGAAGCTGGAAATGGTCTGTTGTTTACGCTTGAGGTTCTGTGACGATGGCGGTGATGACTGCGATGAATTTAGTGTCATTTTACGTCGCAAGAGTCGCTGTGGACTTCCGAGTCAAATGGTCAACGCGAAACAGGGTCAGATTCGAGGCGTGGGATTTGGCATCGCAAGTATAGAAGTGGCGATGAATCTTCCGATGTCTTTTGAGCGAGCGGTACCAGGGTGCACCTTATTGGAAAGCCTCTAGGTATTCCCTTCATTAATCAGCCAGATTCAAGGCTTCTAATTCTGTAGATGATTCCAAGCTGCGCTGGACACAAAATTATTTATTCCGCTGCGTCATGGAGCTTGACGCGTGGAGAACACGCTAACTTATCGTGCGCGCGATTTGATGTTAATGGTTGATTATCTAATCATCTAATCAAAGTATGAGTTATCGTATACAGACAATCGTACAGCGATGCTCCACCATGCAACTCCATCCTACCGGACCCCGAGGCTCTGCTCCCTGTCAAAATGTATAATAGTACAAAACCATTGAAGTAACTGAAAAACACGCTCGTAGCAAAGAGGAGATTCTGAGCCTTGAACCATGTGCCTTCTTTGGAGACAGAAGTCTGTGTGGATACTGGATGATAGCAAGTGCTAATATATAAATAAACAGGTCAACGATTCTGTGGCGGGCAAGGGTCAGTTATTCACGTTCAAGCGTGCCACAACAGATGCGATTTGTGAGAGAATGATGTCGTTGGAGAAGATGTCTTCGTCGCAGAGACTAGAGAGAACTCGTGTCCAAGTAGAGTTGCTCAAAGTCGTCTTCCTCAATGTCTGATATAGTCGCCTCGGGCGATGTAGAGCGTGTCGTAGAGTGCAATCGGGAGGGATTACGACTATTAGCATCAAATATTGGGTTCTCAGTGGGCAGCTTAGGGGCTGAGATAACCAAGGGGTTGAACGTATATCCGGCGTAGAAGCCATGACTCTCAAAAGGACTCAGTCCGTTGCTTTGGGCTCCTTCGAAGAAATACTGCGGTGCATAACCTGTATCGCCTGCGTGCTGCAAGCTAATCGACGATTGCCACAGTAGAGGGGATTTACCACGGCTGTGAGCGTCTAGCATAGGGTCGATGTTTTCTTTCTCTGCAGAAGCATGAGCGAGCCTTCCCGAAGGTAATGGAGCCTTATTGTTCGAAAATCGGTTAACTCCCCTTTCAGCTGTTGCTCCACGCCGAGAAAGAGTTTCTCGAGAAGGACTTGATACTCCATAGCGCAGATATGGCTCATCGTAGCTGGATATGTGCTGGCTAGATTCGTCGTGGAAAACTGTGAACCCAGTTCGAGCTCTGGAGTCGAGCCCATTCACCGCCAGGCTGAATTCTTCCGTTTCATCTCCATAAGAGGAGTGGAGATTAATGCCGTATTTATATGGCAACCGAGCCCCAGGATTCCCCGAAGCCTGAGAGTCATATCTCACCAAGCCGTCTTCGCGCCTGATAGCCGTGCGTTTCGCAGCTTTCTTGCTCCTTTTCCGATCCTGTCCACGTGGAACATTGGAGTCAACTTGGGAAAGTGCACGCTTCGGGCGAGTGGCTCGTCTTTTAGGGATCGGAGTCTCTCCCTTGAGGGGACTGCTGTCTTCAACGTTGCCTGATATAACACGTTGCTTTCGCAGGATGCCTGTTGGCGAAAACACGAGTTCCGTGGGCTCCACACACATGGAGGTCTTTTCCATCATCTTAAGTATGCTTTCGTCTTTCTTCTGGTTGCGTTTACGCCTCATCTGCTCTGTGGCAGAGTCAAAAATATCCATGCCAGGCCACAGCACTCCCTTCAGTCTTGTCATTTCGTCCGCCCTCTCTTTGTCACCTCCGACTAGCCTGATGTAATCAAAGCTTCCATTGTCGTCAACAAAGGGGTCGTCATCGATGGAGCTGCTGGTCAGCGGTTGCAGATTGTTACCAGATCTGCTTTCTCTTTTCATCGACCGGCTCGGCGTGATTTGCGTGTTGGAGACACCCTCCTCTTCGGATTCAGAGCCAGGTTCCTGTTTACACTGGTTTGGTGCAAGCTCTTGGCGCGGATCGTTCGAATGCAGGGTATAGCCTGTTCGGACATGAAACTGAGGGTCAGGAACCGAAGATACAGCTGACGTTTCATCATGACTGGAAAGAGAAGCATTACCGCTCCTCACATCGGGTTCGCCGTTCAGATAAGGGTCAGAAAGGCGTGGGTCAAGGAACGCAGGTAAAGGTTGATGAGATGGAGGGCAGATAGCCCTAGGCGTATCTGTTGGTCCAGCGCCCCGTCGAGCAGTCGACGATGTAGCAAGTGCAAGCGTATTTCCATGAGACCTTCTTTTGCGAGCCTCCTTCGATGCCATCCGATCAGAAAGCAGTTTGGCCAAGTTGTTGGCCTTGTACCATTTGTCGTATTCATCGAGGAGGTTCCTGGCTTCAATTTCTTGATGGCTTCGCACTTGAAGTTTGAAGTAATGGGAAAGATGGGCCTTCGATGAGACGTGGGTCAACAAGTGAGACACATCGCTGAATCGAGCCCGTTTCGGACAGATGTTGCATTGAAGTGCTTCAGCATCCATCTTGGGCAAGTCGGAATGAAGGATCCAAGCGAGTTCTGAAAGGAAGTGACAAGTAAGAAATGTAGCCCGATAATTGCACGAACGGAAAAGACCAGAACAAAAATCCAAGATAGAAAGACTGGCCCTGACCGAGAACACCCCGCCTGATTGCAGAAGAAGTGACGAGGATGACCGATACTTGCCTTGAGATTCCCATTTGCCCCCCGAGCAGGTGATTAACGTGCGAAGGGATGTGCCTGCCACTTTCGACGTAGCGACGCAGACGTCGCTGCTTCGAGAAGGGGCTGCCTGTAATTAATTGACTGGATGTTTGTATTGGGAAGGGCCCATGTCTACAGCAGTCAACGATGAGGATGGATTGCAAACAATGCAGGAAACATTTTCGATTCAGCTCGTCAGCTATCTAGTAAAATGGAATTAGATTGTGCTCTGCGATACATTGTGCCACTGCGTCTTAACAGCCTATTATCAGGCAATTGTGGAATGATATGAAGCGGAAATAAGTCGCAGTGGCCATTTCTCTTCTCCTGCCTTGTATCCCATTGTCCATGGATGGCAAAGAACAACGGGTTATTAGATTGCAGGAGGTTGAATTGATTACGGTTGGGGATAATGCCGAGAGATTTGAGCTATTACCGGCTGAAAAGTTGCTACTTCTTCAAGTATTTCATTGTAACTGCTCTGGGCATACAACTACTTTGGGGTCAGCAAAAATGTGTCAAAGGAGAAATCGTGCAGGCGACTTACTAGACAGGATCTACTTCCTTGACGCCTTCGAATTTCAGGAGACTCAAGCCAGCAATTGCAAAGTGCGTATGGAAGACATCAACCATATTACCTGGACGGTCTCCGAAACCGCCAGCTTCCGGATCCTGCATAGAGTCAGTTCTGATGACACTCTGTTAGACAACGAGGCGAGCACACCTGACAGCGCAGAATATATGTAGCTAATTTGTGGCCATCGATCCAGTGCAGTCGGTCAATCATCGCTAAGCTGGACCCGACCCACCAACTGTAACAAGCATCTGGCAACTTCTCAGGACGTCCATTCAACCCACCATTGTCCAATTGTCTTTCGCTGAGCCAGCTACCAAGCCGATCCTTGTTCACAAGGTCCAAACGTCCAGCAATGGCCAACGTTCCCACGCAGGTGAAGACCTGTCCAGCGTGGGACTCGGCACCGGGACAGATGCCGTATCCTCCATCCAGGTTTTCACACTTCTGAATGTAGGCAACGGCTTTAGAGACATCGATCAAATCCAGAAGACCTAATAATGACAAGGCATTGAAGGCACCATAGACGAAACGGGTATCCAATTCACCCCATTCGTCGCCCATGAAGGAGCCCGTTGTCCTGTCCTGTAGCCCTGCGATGACTGCACTTGTTTAGTATGATCGAGGTGTGAATTGAAGATGACTACAAGGGAGTGGGAAGCAAAATCATACAAGATGCAACTTTCCGCTTGCCTCCCAGACCACGTTTTTCCAGCTCGTCCACCGCATCTAGGGTTACGAGTATCTGCACGGCTGAAACAGTGTAAAGCATGTGTGCATCATGGCCGGGTGCAGCTCCGAACCCGCCATTTTCTCGCTGACAGGAGAGAACAAAGTCGATGGTCTCTTCCCGAGAGAGAGCTTCCGGGAAGCCAAGAAGATGCAGGGCTGTCAAGCCCCAGTATACGCCGTTCAGACGAAGATGCTCTGTGAGCCAATATTCCAGCTCATCCCGTCTCTAGCGTCACCTGTCAACCATCCTCCCCATCATTAAGAGAAGATATAAGTATCACGCACGCTGTCCAGATTCCTGATGTACTCCACATGTTTCTGTACACACAACGTGTGATCTGGAAGACTGCCAACAGCTCTACCAGGACCCGAGACCAGAGACATCTTGAACGCCGGTCTGGAGAATTATTTTTACTCGGGAAGAATAGCTTGGTTAGTATTTCAGAGCTGGACGTCCTCTCTTATTAGCTCGGAATCAGGTTCGGTAGGCGAAGCAGATTCTGTGTGGTCCGCTCCACGGCTAGATAGATGGCAGAAGCATTGAAGGCACTCGAATTACACAGATTGTTCTCCGAGCGAACTGGCCATAAAAGGCTAGAGCATGATATAAATCAAATTTAATCGAAAAATGGACTAGAAAAAAGCCACAAGGGCAGCCAGGATTCAGAAGCTAACAAGACGCCTGGCTTCGCTGATTGTATTAGTATGGCTTAGGCGAATGGCAGCCTCCATGGAAAATTGCAAAGGGGATAAGGTAAATTTCTGCAGTGGAAGACCGCTACTCGCTAATTGGCAAAGGTCTTAATGTCACGTGACTTTGATACACCAAGCCATGCCCAGGGTCAAAGGGCGGGGCATGTTTCAGAAGGGGCATTCAAAGACAGGATCGCCATGCTCGCCAAGTCCCCATGCACAATCGAGTTCAAGAGCGGTGTGAAGTCATGTAAGTGTGAACCAAGTGAATATGTGAATCGTAATAATATCCAGACAATGTCAGCTTATTGTCTAATTTTCTGTTTCCATACGTCCACAGATTTATCTTTTGAACAGAAAGCCTTATGACTTCTGAGGAGGCTCTATATGGGCGACAGGATTAAGTAACCATCAACAGGTGCATACTAGATGGTTACTTTGTGTAGGCTACTTGCATAAGAAAGTTGATCAGAGAAGCTGCTCCATCCTACCACTACTGTTCTCTATCTTCAAGCACAAACTAGTCTGTCTCGGAGGACTCTCGTAACTATCAGCGACGTTCGGGTATATATCGAATCGTCGATAGTCTACTTCTTGCCTTCACTAATTTTGTGGGATGCCATGATCGCTTTGCGCACAGGATTGGAAGTCCCTGAGGCATTACTCTACTCCGAAACCTGATACACCAATAGAGTGAAAGATCGACATGGGCCTGTGAGAATCCAGCGGGGTAATGGAAATGTACTTACGTTTACAAAACGGCAGATTAATGGTAGTAAGTAGTAGATAGTAGATAGGTAGACACTGAAGACACCAGACTTTCGTGAGAAGCGAGACTTGAGACATTAGGACCTCTGGTATAATTTTCTTTTTTTATCGTGACCCACTGGGGTGTATCAATGATCTCTTTGACCCGTGGTTACGCATTTGTATGATAAACAGGAGCCAGTACGGAATACCATGGTACACATTCAATTCAGGTGATGCATACAGGTAGCTAAGGTCAGGTTGAAAAAACAGACTACTTCCTCTCTTGTGTGCATAAACTATGCTGATGATAACTCCCCCTTTCATATATCCATAAAGCAAATTATTAGGATAAAAAGTTAACGCTGGGCGATACTAACTTAATTTACTAGGCGCCATGTACCTTAGGTAGCCATCCATTCCGTCCTTCTGATATTGAATGCAACCTGGTGATTCGGCAAAATGAGTCAACTCGACCCTCCGGCAATATTTGGTTGACCAATCCATTGACCCAATCGCATGCCCTGAACCGGTGTGTACATCAGCCCGCCCAAGGCTCCAACTGTCAGAGCCAATTCTTTCGACCACTGGGAATTATCTTTCGGTGTGAGGAACAGTGGCTCTGTCCGGTGGTAGGCTGTTTGGTTGGTGCCTGTATGAATCCCCTGAAGTAAACAAAAAGCGAAGTTAGTAAAGAAGTCTTGGAGGATCTACAAGTAAAAGTATAGACGCTCAATAGCTGAGTCTTCATACTGCTTCAGAATTTAGTATAGAAAAGAATCATGAGAGTAAGATTCCATCCATAGTGGCCGTTGTATTAATCACAGAGCATGAAATAGTGCCCCAGACAACTCCATTGTACTCTGTACCATTGTGTTAAATGTTGATCATCAGCAGCCTTCTGCCATTTAATCGAGGATTGGCATCGCAATGACATAGCGTCATCAAACCAGCCACGGACACAGATGATCTCCTTTTAGGGAATATGCTTTATTTGTCTGGGTCCAAATTTCCATGACGATACTTCAAAAAAATGATCCTGATTGAATATTATTATTCACTGTTCTGACAAGCATGAAGCACGTACTCCAAAAAAAGAGGTGGCACCTGAAGTGCCCACTAGACATTTATAGATCCATAGAGCAATTTCCAATTCGCTGTCGTCTTCAATCGCCACTAATCCTCCCCCTTTTCTTAGCTTAACACGCAGCCGCGCTTGCATTATTATTATTGTCTTATCTAACTAGCGCCTGTCAAGGACTCAAGGAATGTGTCGTCGCTGCGACGAGCAAGTCAGCGAGACTACGAGATACCCATTAGATACTTAGTCTATCTACTACTCCGTACTCTTGTCTGTGCGGGACCCATCCATCCTCTTGTGTCCCTCCTGCTCCGTACTACTGCTATTGCTACCTTACTACTGTAAGCCCCTACTTACACAAGACCTTCCATTCTACTCATTCATAGCGAGGTTTCTTTCGTTTTTGCTTTTGGAGGAATTGTCACTCCTATCGGAATTCTTCCACTTCTCTTTGACAGTCCTTCTTTCATCTAGCCACTTGGAAACTGTCGTCGCGCTTCGCTTCTGTCTTTGTACTCTCTTCACCGACCGCCCCTCGATTCCACAAGGGGAAAAAAAAAAATTCCCACAAAACATACACAAAATTTTCAAGGCATTAATCAAGCGTACATTCGTTCAATAATCAGTGCCTATAACGTCGTGGGCAACGATTTGTGGATCGCTCGTCTTTAACTGCGATTGATGGAAAGCCACAGAGAATAGACCTGGGCAGAGAGCTTTCAAGAGTATGAGGGGTGACGCACTTTGGTAGGTCAGAATGGTGTCTTTGTTGAGCAAATTCAGACCAGACTCCCACTGTCTCTTGTGATGATCCCTTTCCTGGAAGGATGCGCTTCATCAATGGTTATCAAGGGGTTCGGATTATGTCAATGTCAGCTTTATTTATAGCTCGCCTTGATTCATTCTGAGACCCCTACATTCAGCCATGCTCCTTGCGGTGAAAGACATCATCCTACATACTTTTTATCTCTTCGTTACTCATACAGCCGGGTTTGCTCCTGACTATCTCACTAATGGTCGTGCGACTACTTGACAGATCTCAATCCCCGAACCATATTACCCCCTTCAACGGCGATCTGAACCGATAGTGGCCATCCGAGCATCGAGAGCAGTACTGGAAAGGCTGGTTCCGTTCCAATACTTTAATCAGAGTGATCTCAGAAAACTGTCTCTCTGGCGCCCCTTCCTCTCGGACATTTCTTGAAGGAAAGTCGAATTCGCTCCATCATCTGGACGACTGGAAAAGTGTCAGACGGTAAGTCCATAAGTCTGGGGCGGTTTACTTTATGTGTCCGCTCCCTGTGATTTACCTGTTGGTCAAAATCTCGCAATTTGTGCTGATCCATACTGTCGCACACAGATTCCCTCATAGAGCTTGCACATCCAGTGGGCACTTGATATATCACTTTCCCGCCCTGGCGTGTTTTCCCCGCGATACTCCTTCAGGTGAATTGGCGAACGACGGATATCTAAGAATGCCTTCGAGACAGTCCGCCGTTCCCAATCTAGATCTAAGCTCCTTCACTCTACAGGCGAATGCGAAGAACTCGTCTCCACTTACGCCCGGTGGCCAAAGCTCTGACAGAGCTAGTCCMCTCACACCCCGTTCTCCCAAATCGTCGTCCAGCTCGCCGTTCTTCAAGGGAGCGACCATCCGCCCTGTAACACAAGAGTCCAATAGCAAGTCGAGCAGTCCTACTTTTCCACTCTCCTCTGCTCAATCTGCGGAACCCACGACTCCTGGTTTCACAGCCATTCCTCCATATCCTCCTTCACCAAGGGATTCTCCCAAGCACAGTCGCGAACCGTCACGCTCTTTCTTTGCAAACCTCAAGGCGCCGAAAACAGCACACAGAGCCCAACGCTCAGACGGTTCGGGAAGTTCAAGTGACAAGCCCAAGAGCCGGGGCAGTTCCAGGGATCGCAGAACACAGATTGCGTCCAAATCGTACGAGTCGACGCCAGATCTTCCTGGTACAATCGAGCGCGCAGCCCAACAGGAAAATAGTAAGTGTCTCGCTTCATACAATGTACTGCGTTTTAGTTTTTATCTATGCTAATTCCAGCGCTGATAGACAGTGATACGGTCGAAAGCAAGAACCCTCAACCGCTGGAGACCAAAAAGGTTGGCAACGATCTTGAGACGGGAAATCCTGCGAAGAAGAACAAGCCGCGCTTCGCCAATATCTTGTCGCGTTCTCGTTCCATCAGGCTGGACGATTCCGCGTTAAACAGAATAGCCAATCGGCGTCCGTCAGCGACTTTAATGAAGCTTGAGGAAAGCAGCAAGCAGGAGGCGGAGATGACCCCCAAGACAGCTACGTCCCGACAAGACCGCGGCTTCAAGGGAGCCGGGAATGCTGCAGTGCGTACCTATGCCGTCGATCGCGCCGGAGAGCCAGGCAGTGGTCAGGTTCGAAAAGAAAGAAATCATGTCGGCTCAATGGTGCCATCCGCTTCACTAAGTCAGGTGTCAGGCGCCTCTGCTGCGCTGTTTAACAACCTCAAACAGTCTTCCAGTGGTGCTGCAGACAGACTTGGAAAGGCAGGAAAAGGATTCTTTGGGAAGATTACCAGGAGCGGCAGCACAAATGAACGTGAATTACTCAATGATGATAACTATGTCTGCTCTGTCATCAACCTCCCTCTTATCGAGCAGGCCAGACGGACACGCATAGCAAAGAAGCTGGAAGACTGCCGAGACAAGACTGAATTTTGGATGCCTGCTTTGCCATATCGTTGCATCGAGTGAGTTGCCGTCCTGTCGAGCTGGTCCTCATTTATACTAACGTCACATCAGCTATCTCAATTACAAGGGCTGCGAGGAAGAAGGACTTTACCGCGTACCCGGTAGTGGTAAAGAAGTAAAGCATTGGCAACGGCGGTTTGATACAGGTAAGCTAGGCTGGACAAGCTTTTCATGTCTCTATCGCTGACTACGCAGAACTCGACATCAATCTTTTTGATGAGCCAGATCTTTATGACATCAATATAATTGGATCTATGTTTAAGGCTTGGCTACGGGAGCTACCCGACGAACTTTTCCCGAAGGAAACCCAGGCCATGATCGCTGAAAAATGCGAGGGCGCAACCACCGCGCCGCAGTTGCTGAAGGATGAGCTTTCGAAACTGCCGCCCTACAACTACTACCTTCTCTTTGCAATCACCTGCCACCTCAACCTCCTGCACTCGTATGTCGATCAGAACAAGATGGATTATAGGAATCTCTGCATTTGTTTCCAGCCTTGCATGAAGATTGACGCCTTTTGCTTTCATTTCCTCGTATGCGACTGGAAGAATTGCTGGCAGGGTTGCTGGACCGAGAAAGAGTATCTGCAGATTGAAAGGGAGATGGACGAAAAGGAGAAGGCCGCATCTTCAAAGTCTGGAGCTGTTGATCACTCTTCTCTACCTTACTCGGATGCTAACGAAAGAGCCATATCTTCTTCCGGCAGTAGTCAAGCAGCTGCTGAGGATGAACCAACGTACCGTCCTGAGACGGCGAAGAACCGGAAACAGAAGCCMAAACAGATTGAAACTACACACACAAGGAGCATCTCCCAGCTTCCCGAGCTCGGGCCACCCTTGTCTCCGATTCAGATATGACGTTGATTCTCCGCTCAGGTCAATATTTGGTGAACTTAGCCGTTGTTGACACTGCTGGTCTGACAACTCTCAAGCTACATCTATCGTCCTCTTTCCAAAATTCTGCGATGCATTCTTCTTGACTCTTTCAGAAAGCATCCTGCTTAAGACACGGACTGGATCCGAGGTCAAACTAATCTTCTTGTGGTTGTACATTGACTTGACTTTTTCCAAGATCCTGCTTGCAGTTCGTGATTCTCCCTACTTCGCCATCTTGGTTTCTCTTTTCTGCGCACAAAGTCGCGGAAGAATGATCGAATCCAACATTTTCTGTGCACTCATCACTACGTTTTTCTCGTCTCTCAAATGTGGTACTTTTGCGAAAGAAGTGCATAGATCGGCGCCCTCGGAGTTGGTTTATGGGTTTTTTCATACGATTTTTTGGTTGTACAAATTGCCTCAGCTAACGTGCAGTATCCTGGTGGCCCGATTGTTTTGCGTACATGTTCTTGAAACGTCACATTTACTTTTCTTTTGCCATTTGATTCCCAGCTCGGAGCTTTTTCTCGATGTTTCTTATTTCCGTTGCGTGCATACCCCTTACGCTGTCATTCCTTACTTCCATTGTTTGTGCGCAATTTGTGTGCCTCTATCAGCCTCTTATTGTAAAATATCCCAACCGGAACTCTTATGCGTCAACCTGAGTACAAAGCCAAAACGAAGGTGAATGATCCCAACATGTAGATTTGCATTTGAGATCTCAAATGATCGGGGTATGATGCATTAATCTGATCTTGTTTTGTTTGGTCCAACAGTGATAATCCGTAAAAGTGATATAGACAATAGAAAGACCGGCGACTCCAATCCGAACTCCTGCTTTTGTTTGGCCAAGCCCAGCGTTTTGAGACACATAAAAGAAGAACAACGAACGAAAATCAGATCTTCGTCTAGTGCATCCGGAATAGTGTTTACTTGCTCATCCACCACCGGACTTGCGGGATCTCCGCTCATTAGATCTCATCTTCCTCTCGTTGCGGCGTATTCTCTCCTTGCGATCGGCACGCGACAGGCCACGGATCGAACTACCCTTAGCCGCCGCCTCTTCTTCCTTCTTCCAGTCCTTCTCTTTGACCTCTACCAGCCACTCATCATCCGACTTGTTTTTGCCCTTGTAGCCCCATCGGGGTACCCATTCACCCTTCTCTTCGTCGTAGACCAGCTTCTTGCGGCGCTCCTTGTCTGCCAGCGCAGCGCCGGGTTTGTTGCTATACTTGCCAATACCCTTCTTGCGGGCGAACAGCTCCCACTTGGTAGGTGGCTTGGGTGTGGGCAAGGGCTTGTGTCGGGGGAGTACAGTCGTTGGGGGAGGGAGGGTGAGGAGGACACCATTCTGTGCAGAAGACGTAATCGGGCAGGTAGTGAGGAGCTGGTTGAGGAGGGACTGGGTGCCGTCTCGCGCGATGGCCTTCAGAGAGACGTTCAAGGGCTCTGAGCGGGGGAGTTCAAGGGGGTTAGGATCATTGGCCATCAGATAGCCCAAGTCGAAAGTGTACGGCGTGGGTTTCGAGACTGTGACAGGGCTAGGGCATCGAAAGAATCAGTATCTGCAGTGAGGCGGTTACTGGCTTGTCAATGGGCATTGTACTCACAGTTTCTCGGGTTTGGGCTTAGCCTCAGACGCAGCGGTCGCCATTTCGACTTCAGTCATCGTGATAAGGGTACCAGTGCCGATTCTGAAGAACGGCGATATTATACCCGTGAGGTTGGAAAATGCGAGATGTAGACGATTATTATGGACCAGTATTATTCCCGATCGGAGTGGCCCAAAAAAAAGTTGCGGAATAAATTTTGGGAGGCCGCTTTAACCCATGTCCCGTTTCCACTCTTAGAACGGCCACGACGCTAAGCCCTAAATAGTAACAGGAGAAGTTCGAAAATGTTGCTCCGAGACCCCAACCGCATTGGAATTGATACACTCGGACAATCAACGGCAGCAGCCTTTCTCCCTCTTCTTCCAACGTTTCAGCAGCCTCCATTGACCGGTTAACGCTGGCCTCTGCGCCAGTGTGTCGCAATGGTTTCCTCTTTCTGCTGGAGCTGCTTGACGCGGCTTCGTTCGACAACTCGAGCTCTTCTCCCACCGTCGTTAGCAACACCCAGAGTAGCGGCATTTCACTCATCACCGGTGCAATATGCGAACCCGACAAAGAAGAAAGCCAGTCTTGATGGTCCTCCTAAGTACCGTCAGGCAAAGTCTGCCAAGATGAAGAAGAAGAAGCCCGTTGACAGGCCTCGTCCGCCGCCTGTGGGAGAACGCAAGGCGCTCCGGAAACGCATCGTTCTCAGTAACCCGAACGCTCTTGAGGTTGAGGGCATGCAGGACCTCACAGAAGAGACGATGGTGGATTCACGTCTTCGTGGAACGGTCCTGGGTCTGCCCCTGCCGCTGATCGATCCGTTAAGAGCTGTGCAGGCTTTCAAGCCCAAGCAGGGCTGGTCGATATTCCGCCGTCCCGGCACGGTGGTAAGACGGGAGACTGTGGAGCTGGGAAGACAATTTGACATGATCTCGGGTGAAGGCGAAGACAAGGGCAAGGTCATCAAGAAGATCGTTACTGGTGTGCGAGGAACGGGAAAGAGTGTGCACCTGCTGCAAGCCATGGCCATGGCGTTTACTAAGAAATGGGTCGTGTTTACTGTTCCTGAACGTATGTTACCACCCTGTTTACCTATACCCTGATCTTCTGTCTGCTTGATTGCTTGTTGGTGTACGTGGGCTTACAGAACATTCTAGCCCAGGACCTGGTCGTCGCACACACTGGCTACGCGCCTCTCTCTGACGAAGTCCCCAATCTATATGTCCAGAATGAAGCAACAGCTGCCCTCTTGTCTCGTACGGTCAAAGCGAACGAGGAGGTCTTGTCGGGGCTGAAGGTTTCTCGGGCGCATCCCGCTCTCGGCTCGGCTGTGAAACCCAGCATGAGCCTGGCAGAGCTTGCTACTCTTGGCATTAACGATCCCGCCGTCGCCTGGCCTGTCTTTGAGGCGCTGTGGGCTGAACTTACTGCAACTTCTGCATCTCCCGGCTACGACAAGGCCTTCAAGCCTCGCCCTCCGATTCTTGCTACTGTGGATGGCCTGGCACACTGGATGAAAGACACTGAATACCGAAGCGCTGACTTTGAGCCCGTTCATGCTCATGATCTTGTCTTCGTAAGACACTTTCTTTCGCTGTTGAAGCCCGGTGCTGGTCAGCCTACCCTTCCGAATGGGGGCATGCTGCTCTATGCCACTTCCGCTTCCAACAATCCTACTATCTACAGCTTCGAAGTTGCTCTCAAGCAGACAGCAGCGCGCCAGGCTGGTGTTAGTCCTTCCGCTCCCGAATTCCCTCAGGCCGATCCCTACAGCAAAGTTGACAAGCGCGTCCTTGACGCATTCGAGTCTCCTAAACCCGCCTCTGCTAAGGAGGGTGCTCTGGAGCTTCAGACTCTTGGCGGCCTTACAAGGGATGAGGCTCGAGGTTTCATGGAATACTTCGCACGCAGTGGACTTCTGCGGGAAAACGTCAATGACGAGTGGGTTGGGGAGAAGTGGAGCTTGGCCGGAGGTGGCGTTGTTGGAGAATTAGAGAAGCTGGGGAGACGGCTCAGAGTGATGGCCTAAACGACTCCAGGCAACGTCGTTTATTCATCTAGAGCTGCGCTGGTTGGGTTGCTGCGGCTCTATGTATAAACCTTTTGTGGCATCGAATTCCCGTCCATTGTGCTGTGCTATAAAGGATGGGGTTCGGCTTTCGTTAGAAATATGTGTACTTTACTGGATGTGTTAGGTTTCTTGTATCTCTGTATGCTATAATGGAATCTTCAAAAGATACAATCGACTTCCCTTCTTCAATCTGATGGTACGTCTCCTGTCATGATATCCTGGGCAACATCAGGAATTGCTTTTACCTTTGATGTAGACGCACCGAGCTCACGTAGTGTGCAACTGTGACGTGTACTACCGACAGCACAAGTCTTCATTCAAATTGAAAACCAGAAAAGCACCAGAGATTATAATGGAAGGCTCCTCCTCAACAGCCAACCCCAAACTGTGAACAATAGCAATCACAGTGGCGAAAGAAAACAAACTGAACCAAGCAGCTTCACGCGAGGTAATCTCAAAATATATAGAAAATTCACCCACCGCAATCAACAGAAACACAATACATGCACTGAATCTGATGCCTCTCAAGATGAACAGTCCCTGCTCGAGTCTCTGGCAAAGGAAGCACCTCAGGTCCCGCTGCCAATGTGTAGGAAGCTGGTGAAATGGCTCTGTTTCAGCTCTGGAGCTACTTCCGCGGAGCTTCTTCTAGAAATCGAAGTGTTGACGCTTGTGATATCCACTCTCTGCCCATTCCCCGCGGTACGGGCGTTTCCTTGTTGCCATATAATGCTCTAACTCCCAGTCAAACTGCTCTTCGGCCTCCGTTGCTCCAGGAAGTAGAGGTTGCTCACTGGCTGCAAACTCCTCCCTGTCGTCATCCGCTCCGTCCACCTGCGCCCCGATAGGTTTCGTCTGGGTCCCGAGTGCCCTCGTAGACGTACCCTGACTCGGATCGGGACTGGTATCTGGAGTTGGATCACGAGGTGCCGCGCTCAGCGGCGGGTACTGGGGAGGCTGCTGCGGAGCATCGTCCTCATCGCTCGACTCGTCCTCGTGTTCTCCGTCACAAGCGCATTGTCGACCCAGCTGCCTGAGCATACCCTTTTCCGTCATGGGCGACTCAGTGTAGGAAATGAGGATTTCCTTTCCCTTGGGAATATCTTCTTTTGCCCATACAAATACACGATTTGGCACGCCGCCGAAATCGAATCCCCACTGTGCGTTATGCTTTTCTGGGCAGGCATGATTGAACAGGCTGAAACCTGGATAGAGATACAGCACTCGAAATGACGGGTCATAGCTTTCAAAGCTTTCTCTGTCTTTAGTCATTTCTCGTTGCTTTTCTGGGTCGTCAATCTCCTTCCGCCTAACAATCTTCTTGGCTGGCTCTTTGCTCATCTTCAGGGCCGGTACATCAGCCCAGGGAATCGCGTTGATCAGCAATTTCCTTAGCACGACCTGAATGACCCAGGTGTCGAACGAAAAGTCGGCAAATATGTCTACGCCCAGCTGCATGAGAATGTCGAATGGGACCTGGATGTTGGCAGCCAATGTGAACGGAAATGCTACTTTCTCATCAGTCCGGTCCAAATTATCCTCAAGGATCAAGAGTTCGTCAATCTCGTGCGCCAAGAGGTTTGGGTCGTGCAACCTTTCGCGCCTCTCGAGTGTGATGTCAAACACTTCCCTGAGGAGAAGGCTCAGCAATGTTCCATGGGCCTCATTTGTGTGACTGAAGTAATGATAATCTTTATGATTACCCCATTGCATCAAGTATGGGCGCATAGCATCATGCAGCCATTTCCAGTTTTTCCCACAGGCCCGAAAATGATAAAACTTCCGCGCAATCTCGGAGCATGTCTTGGGCCCAGGACCTGGGGGACAGTAGCTTAGCGGTATAGCTTCTTTCCCATCGAGCAGAAAGCATTTGCATGCGGCCTTGTCCTGTCCGGCTTTGATCTTCCTGATCCGTTCTTGGTCCTCTTCCGGCCACGCGGCATCAAGCTCTTTGTAACAGTTGTCGCATCGTGGTGTTCTTGCGCTGTATTCACACCGATCCGATGGCAGCCTGCTCACGCCGAGATGTCCCCGCATTGCCGGCTCCTCGACGAAAATCATCTGTCCTTTCTTGATTTTTTCGGTTGCAAACACCCCTAGCGCTGTGGCGGAATTCTTTGCTGGCTTGAGGCGCTCAACCGATTTGACCTTGCATTTCCTCCAAGGGAGGGCTTGATTGTTTCCGAAGAGCCTTTGGTTCAATTCATCGAGGAAATCTTGGTCGGTCCGATGTTTGTCACACGATTCATACGGATATAGCCTTTCCGCCGAAACCTTTCCTGCCCTGGACTCGTGAAACCAAAGCTTTCTTGCCTCCTTTTCATTGTGAGACTGCTCGAAATAAGCCTCCATCACCTCGTTACGTCGTTCGAAAGGTCGCCTATCGCGGTCTGGCATGATAACCCTTTGAGGAAGGTATTTATCCATGGCCTTGCAATCCTCTCGGGCTTGAAGCGCTGCGAGACTGAGGCTGATGATGTTATGGAGCGCCTTCCGAAGGGTTGGGATGAAGTAGTTAATCCCGTTAGATTGGCGCATTTTTTCCACCTCTGGCGGGATGGCTTCCGTGTCACTGTTCATCCCTGCCAGGATATGCTGAGAGATCGCGTGCCAGATTCGGGGGTAAAGCCCGGGTTGGCGGTTTCTGCACCGAGCATCGACAAGCACCTCGCAGAGGAGCTGGGCTCGGTAGGCATCTCCGATCGCAAGGTCAAAGAAGGCCTGCTTGTAGTGGCAATAGCCACGGCTGACCCAGTATGTAGGGTTGTATGGGCTGAGTTTAATGGCCCAGGTGTACATGTCCAACGGGTTCAACTCATCGCCCGGGTAGATTCTCCAGCCCCGCGGCTTCCCTGTGGATATCTTCCAATGTCCGAGGTCGCTTCTGGAAAAGAGTGTCAGAGACTTTCGCTCATATTCGTAAAGACGCTGGCGCAAGACTTGCGAAGTCCCAGTCTGGACTTGGTTTCGGTCCCTAAGCTCCTGCTTCAAGATTGCAACTGTCAATTGGCGGGAAGTCATTACATCCTTGCCTCGAATAAGGATGGGACCAGTATTAGGCATATGCCCCCAGTCTTCCAAGATATCATCGAGCCGCCACTTCGCCTGGTCCATCCCCATCTGTGTCCATTTAGCTTGCCATTCGGACTCTGCCATGGGGTACATGTGCTCCAACAGGAGAAGCTCGTACACCTCTAAGGCGAGTCCTTCCGTGTGCTCCATAGCCCTTGTATCGTCATCATCATCAGGCCGACGAAAAGGGTGCTGGCCTAGGCCTTCCAAGTACTGTCGGAGTTTTTGAGTGGGACGATCCCACAAGATGCGTGCTAGTTTTGCATCTTTCGATTCCACATATGGCGCCCAGTCGATCTCTTGGAACTCGTCCGGCCTGGGCGGGAACTCCGGTGCGTCAACCACCTCACGAGGCGGATGGGACAGGAAGACTTCTGTCCACCATGCCTGGGCTCTTTCGGGATCTGAAGGAGGATGGAGACCGGGGGCCATTATTTCAATAACAAACAGCAGGGGTTGTGTAGGACAAGTTGGTATGGCTGATCAATGGTTGAACGATGCAAGTCAGTCTTGTCATTCGATAGAACATTGTATATATCTAATTCTTCTCGATGGCCAGCAATGACAGAGGGCATGTCGAATATTTAGGGCAACAAAGAACCCTTCTTCCAAGGACCGGGCAACAGATGCTTAAAAGGGTGTTTCTTTCAGGGATACGTAACACATTAGACTTTCGAAAGTCCAGTGGTTCAAGGACAAAGAGACACAGTAGACAGGGACTGAATACATGCTAGATGGTCGGTCCCTAGGTAAGGTAGACCTTCGTTTACCCTATTTCGGTTGCTCGCAGTTTATTCCCAATTGTTCAGAACCATGGTAGCATTCAGGAACAAAGGAAAGCCCCGTTCTCCGATTTGGCTGTCTTTCAATATCAAAACCAACCCACGAGAATCGAAAGTCATGACCATAACAGAAATTGTGTTGATTAGAAAAAAATCCATCGACCTGCTGAGGCCCGGCGTATTGTATACATCCGACTGTCCAAGGTTGTCAGCATGATATATATTGGTCAATATGACACCGACCGAGGGTTTTTGTCAGCATTGACATGCCATCAGTCTTATTGTTTGTGCTGAATATCAATGAACAGCATCTATCAGTATCCCGAGTGAACGTCGGGGTAGAAGGACGTTCATCCTCTGCCTCATTATTGAATCGGGACGTTCTCTTGCAAGATCCTCGTTGAAGTCGAGGTTAGTGAGGGTTCACAAAGCAGTCATGGCCGTGTCCTGTAACCAAGAACTTCTAGGGTCAAAGAACGAGAAATTTAGCAATATTATAATGATTGTTTTTTTATTTTCGATGTATTATTGTGTGAGTCGTCTTGTTGATGGCAGAGTTGGAGAAGCCGAAGCCGAAGGGAGGCAATGCGAATACGGAGTACACACAGCACAGCCTCAGGTGCTTCTTCTTCCATCATCATCACCTGGCCCCTGGGGTCATCGCAGTTATTTTCTGTCAAGACGCAGGGTTGGTTGGCCATCCGGTGTCACCAGATTGTTTTCCTTTACCTTGTCCTCCTGATCCACGGTCGAATAGGTAGTCATTATTGATTTCTTTTCTCATTGTAAGGCTCATAATCGTCCGAACCCCACCGGTTCTGCGGTAAGTGGCCTTCAAAGAAACAATCAGACCACCACCGGCAACATTCATGCTTGTCCAGGCGCATATCTGTAACTGACAAAGAAGATCTCCTAGCCATGTACGGTTCGCATTCTTACTCGCATTCCACCGGTCCACCGCATTCAAGTCCTTCTCAACCAGAATGGCGTTTACCTGCGACAACTCAACACCAGCAATCTTCATGGCCCGCGGGTTCTGTGGCACCTCCACCGCCCCCTCCTCCTCCTGCGCCGATTGCAGCTCCTTCATATCATCCTAATACG